GTCGCTCGGTGGGGGCCCGCCCGTCCCGGTGTCTCCGTTCTCCCCCCTGTCTCGGCTTTCTCAGCCATTTCCAAATCAGATCTAGAGGAAGAAATGCACGGGCTCAGCCATGCTGGCAGCAGAGAGAAAGGAGTGTGGATGACCAGCCATGGGCATGGTCTGGGGCACCCCTTCTTATATGCTTATAAATATCTGCAGGGTGGGTGTCAGGAGGATGGGGCCAAGCTCTTTTCAGTGGTGCCCAGCGACAGGACAAGGGGCAACGGGCACAAACTGAAGCAGAGGAAGCTCCAGCTGAACCCGAGGAAGAACTTCTTCCCTCTGAGGGTGACGGAGCCCTGGCCCAGGCTGCCCAGGGAGGTTGTGGAGTCTCCTTCTCTGGAGATCTTCAAGACCCGCCTGGCCGCGGTGCTGTGCCCCCTGCTCTGGGTGACCCTGCTTGGGCAGGGGGTTGGACTGGGTGACCCACAGAGGTCCCTTCCAACCTCTACCATTCTGTGATTCTGCTGGCTCTCCGTGCCTGGACACGGTGTCAGCCCAGCCCTGCAGCAACCTGACCCCTCTCTGATGAGGTGGTCTCGGTGCCAGGCATCCCTTGCAGCCCTTCCTGCTCAGAGAACCCCAGCTGCCATCCCTTGGCTGTTCCTAACCAGCCTGTTCTCCCACCCGCAGGGCCAAGCCCAGTGCTGCGCTCCGTCCGCATCGTGGAGCTCGACATGGCCATCCAGTCCCAGTACTGCGCAGCGGCCGACGCGTGCAGGTGAGCCAGGCGAGGTGGGCTGGCAGCACCTTGGTGGCGGCAGCGCTGCGGGAGCTCCGGGGGAAGAAGCAAACAGCCTGCTCCTGGAGCCTTGGGCCGTTTTCTGCCATCACCCCGCAGCAGCAACGTGGGCAGAGGGGCTGGGGCTCCGGTTCCTTCCCGCAGAGCGCAGGAACATTGAGCTTGGTGATCAGCTTGACTTTGGGAGCTAGCCTGGGAAGCTTCCCCCTCCGAAGTCTCAGCCCAGCAGAGATTTTGGGTCCTGGCCTGGCCATCTCCCGGCCGCCTGAAACGCTGTGGTGAGACCTGATGCTCTCTCTGTGTCCCTAGGACTGGAAACTTCACCTACCGCATCCCTGTCAACCAGCTCACGGCGGTGAACACCAACCTGACCCTGGAGATGAAGTGAGTGGGCAGGGCTCGTCCCTTGGGCGTTTCGGTACCCCCCAAGTTGGCTGGGTGCTGTGCCTGAGCTGGGGAAGAGTCAGCAGGGTCTCTGGGTGTCTTCTCTCCCCAGCTCCTCCTCGGCTGTGTCCATCTCCCTCTGTGGCCTTGTCTCCAGCGATCCCTGCCAGGACACTGCCAGCGGGAACGGCTCCGCCGATGCCACAGACGCGCAGGTAGGGAGGCTCACGAGATCCACACACCTTGTGTCACCCCGGCACAGCGCCCGTCCCCCCGGAAGGGACCGCGGCAGCCTGGCTGGGCAACACGGGAGGTGCTGGGGGGGATCACAGAATCACACAAAGGTCGGG